GTAGGCAGGAAATAGTGCTGGGTCTAGATGACCCCAGCTAGATGCCTATCTAACCCCCTTTTGAAGACCCCCAGGGTAGGGGAGAGCACCACCTCCCTTGGGAGCCCGTTCCAGACCTTGGTCACTCGAACTGTGAAGAAGTTCTCCCTAATGTCCAATCTAAATCTGCTCTCCGCTAGCTTGTGGCCATTATTTCTTGTAACCCCCGGGGGCGCCTTGGTGAATAAATCCTCACCAATTCCCTTCTGTGCCCCCGTGATGAACTTATACGCAGCCACAAGGTCGCCTCTCAACCTTCTCTTGCGGGAGAGTTCTTAGAGGGAGACACTTATCACTACAATGCATAAGTAATAATCACAGGAAATGCAAATAACCTTCAAGGCAATCACACAAGGTATTTCTCTTTTGACAGCTCCTTATCTATTTCTGAATATTTCTTATTGTAGGTTTTGCCACCTTCTTTGCCATAGTTTTCAGTGCAAACCAACTGTGTATCTTGTTTACGATAGTATTTTTAATGTTATTAATACATAATGCATGAGAGAAGGAATTCGTAGTTCACACTGTTGATTTGTTTCTCTGCAAACAAGTCCCAGTTGCAAGAGAAGGAATAATCCCTTGAGAGCTATCATCTCAACAAAAATGGCATTTAATAAACAGATTAATGTGCAAGAGAAGCACTAGCAGGGATGTCAAAAGGAATCTGGGAAAAAAGATCTCTACGCTAGAACCTATCAAGGGAAGTATAGATGAAAGCCACTAGTGACAAAGAAAGTGGTAAAAGGGGAAAAGGTCATTGGATCAGACTGAGAAGTTCAGAGAGGGGAGGAAAAAAAAATATGGTTGAAATATTAAGTAAGAATGCCTCTGCAATTTTCTTGATCTTATGTATCTGAAAAGGCTGCAAAGGAAAAATAACTGTTGCCACAATTCTCAGGACTCAGAATAAATCTTCTATTCTTTATTAAAAAACTGTACAGCCAGACACACATGAAAAACCTTACATTAGAAGGGGAATTGCTTTGCTGTCCTAAAGGAATGCATCAACATAAGGTATCAATGTGGAATACCAGACAGGGACTAGTAACATATTAAAAACCTGACATTGGTGTTAAGGAACCTACCTGGAGAATAGGTTTATCCAGTACCCATGCCAAAAGTAAGAACAGAATAGGCAGTGATATCATTGCCTCAAGATTCCTCTTATAATTCCAGGCATTTATACACCCCTTTTCATCAGCAGATCTCAAAGAACTTTACAAAAAGGCTCATTATCCCTTTTCATAGGTAAGAAAATTGAGGAATAGAGATAGTGGTATAAGGAAGAGAATCTAGGTTTTCCAAGTCTCAGTCCAGTACTCTAGCCATTGGACCACCCTTAACTGTTTTTAACATTCAAATGTGTGGGCATCTGATAACTTCTGAACTTGCGCTTTCAACTCACCCAGCACCCCAGGCCAGGTCTGGGTGCAACAGTGGTGGGATAAGCAGTGGCAGTCATGGTGGTTAACGCAACCATTGCTCATCCCCAACTGTCAACGTGTGCCCCCAAAGGATACCCCAAGTTGCAGTAGCAGGCAACACCCAGTCACCCCCAGGCTGGATGCTGCTGTTCCATAGTCCAGATCAGACCCATGAGCTATACATTTTGCTACTAACTACATAAACTTCTTTTCACTTGCCAGAACAAGAAACAAGATGTTCTATTTTTTTAAATAATTTAATCCAAAACATTTAGCCAAAAACCTTTTAATGTTAACAACTTTTTAACGCTGCGTTTAGGTAAATTTTGAAATGAAAATCCTGTTTTGAAGAAAAGCTAAGTACTTTGCTGCAGAAATAGAAAAATGAAATAGTTTTGGGTAAAAAAGACAAAGTTTCAGATTGTTTTCCCTGTACCAAACAATCTCAGAAGCTTACAAAGCGTTCCAGTTGAACACAAATAAGCGGTTTTAGCAAGAAACTTTTCTTAGGTGAAATTCAGCTTTACTTACCAGCAGATGTTACACTGAATACAAGCAGAGACCTTTGAATGTTGCAGTAATTAAAAATTACTGCAACACATCACATTTAAATAAGTTTCCTATTCTAATTGCCTTGAAATTAGAAGGCAGAGAGGCCAATATGGAAACGTCTCTTTCCACCTCCCTGGAGTGTAGTTAATTAGTAAGTGTATTTAGGAAGAAACTCGCTCCTCCACACACCCGCCCCACCCCCCATAAAGAAAGAATGGTTCTCTTCATCATCTGATCCTCCTTTGTGGAATTACAAAAAGCCTGTCACTTTCAGTACACATTTTTCATTTTCTCTTCAGTTACATGGTTACTACAACAGAGAGGAAAAGTACATTGGACACAGGAAGATCATGGGAAGTTTAGCTTGTAAGGGTGCAGACAGAAGTGCAGCTCCTCACCGTAAATCAGAGGGGAAGGAAGCACTTTAAATGACCTGCTGGACCAAACAGAAGTTCACTGTTGGTTTCAGGGGGAGGGCAATCTAATACCTGGCTGACACCTGCAGCCGGTTTCCCCTAGCAACAGCCCCTCCTCTCTCCCAGCCTGCCTGTTTCAGAAGGGGAGAGCTAAAGGCCACTTTCTATGGGCTCCTGAGCCCACTCTGGAGTGGGGGGGTGGTGACTTGGAGCCCCACCACTTTGTGGGGGGGGGCTCCAATACACCAACCTCACCCTCCGGCGGGGGCTGAACCCCCCAAACTCCCTCTGGTTCCTTCCCCCTCCCATTCTGAAGACAGCTGGAGGCTGGCAGGCGGCACAGGCAGAGGTTACAGAAGATGCTCAATTTTGAAACACCTTCATCTGACCCCCCCCTCATGCGATGAGGGGGTCCGATTTTCACCTGATCGGCCATTTTTGAAGCTGTCTGCAGCCGTGCACTTGTGTTCGGTCATGGCTGTCAACTGCTTTCTGGGGCCAGAGCAGGCGAAAGCTGTCACTTCTGTCTGCACCCAAGACAGGGCCAGAGCCCGCAGCGCTGAGCTGAGCTGAGCTGAGCTGAGCTGAGCCCCCCCACCAATGCCCGCGGGGCAGTCATCGCGCCCGAGACACCAGAGCCCCGGTCCCGGCAGCAGCGCGGGGACGGGACGCGGGGGCGGTGCCTGTACGGGGCACGCGGCAGCAGGATGGAGGAACGCCCGCCCCGCCCCGCCGCGCCCCGCCGGGCACCGACCTCCGCCCCCGCTGCTTCGCTCAGCTGAAACCGCCTCAGCCGGCTCCTCAGGTCCACCCCGCTGTCAGCGGCTCCGCGCATGCGCTTCAGCTTCAGCGGTCCACAGCACCGCACGTCCATGCACCAGTCTCGCGAGATTCCCCCCCCCCGCCAGATTCCCGCCCCCTG